CATCTTCCGCTTGAATTTGCTTCGACATTCCAATCTTCATTTCGCTCTTTTATCCAAATGGGCAACCAAAAGACAGCAACCAAAACCGGCGCACGAAAGTGCATGGTTAATGGTTGTAACAACTGAACTGGACAACGTGCGTTGCTGGTGGTTGTCTATGAGCGCCGAGCAGTTCCCCTGAGAACACCTGATCTCACACATTTATGCCTGTGGTGTGTAAACAGTGTTTGCAGTCACAGTGCACATACTAGTATGTTGTCTGTTAATCATAACCGTGTGGTGAACAGGAGTAGGGTCGAAACCCATAGTCACGAGAATCTAGCGTTCACTTATGGCAACTGGCGATTCAAGTCCTGGAACTTGGAGGGTCAATTAGAATAAATATGGTATTGAGCCAGGCGACAACTAATCCGCCTGACAACAAAGTTATATGGTAGTGACCTTTGACTTTGTGGCCCAAGTACGACAAAGAGAACGATTTAAACCGCTTCGGTGGTAAAGAGCTTTTTTGTCGTCCGGTTCAATACCTCGCCTAACCTAGCGGGGCCTTATGTGGCTCGTCACTCCAAGTCCTGGTTTCCATCAGTTCAGTTCAGTTCTTACAACCATTAACCATACACCTTCGTGCGCCAGTTTTGGTTGCTGTCTTTTAGTGTCCCATTTGGCTAAAAGAGCAGAATGAAGATTTGAATGTTGAAAGCAAATTCAAGCGCAAGATGGACAATTCATATAGACTGATGTTAGGAGAATAGTGAGTAGATGCACGAGCGCCACTGTTTTCCACACTCAGCCATATCACTCAGTTTCTCTAACTATCGGTGAACATCGCCTCGGGGTTCCCAGCTAGGGAGAACAACGGGACCTATGTGACCTAGTTTCCATCACTGAATGTCCGGTCTACATGGCTGTGGACTTCACCCTGTGTACTGTTCGTCACACAAAAATGTGTGTAGTAAAACATGTTTTAATGCTTCTTATTGAACAGATAGCTGTGCAGTTAACTTTTGAGAAGGCGATTGTGATCATTGAAAAGCTGTCAGGAGCCTTGTAGAAATGGAAAACTTGTGTAGTAGTGTAGGGATTCGAACGCAAACCTCCAAGTACGTGATGATTCAAGTAGTTAAAACAACAGTCATATAAACCTGGTACTAGACTAACAGAGCGGAGAACCTAGGATCATGGACTGATGAACCACGCACAACCTAACAAATAAGACCAGGTATTTAATTATCTAGTGGTCAAGTTATCCATTCAAATAGGGTTGTTGGTAGTAGGGTGTGAATATCTAACTACATGCCCCAATACACGGTAATGTGCGTGACTTGAAGTACTACACTGCTGCTGAGATTATATTCCCCTTGGTGGATAAGACGCCAGTGAGCCGCCATTTCGCATGCACATCAATTTTATGGTATTCGATTGCTTAAGACGTATGTGACATTCATTTAGGTTCTTCTTCATGAATGACGTTTCTGATGCAGGAGTTTGATCATTTATGCCATATAGTGCGGACAGTTTAGTATTAATTACGGAAAGCAACTGCAGACTCAACTTAAGAGCTCCATGTATGCATTGTACAAATCAGATGAACAAAACTAATATTCTGCGTAGATTGCAGCGCAAACGTAGTTATGCTGTGACGCGAATGCTTAATTTCCATGGAAGTAATGACTGGAATATATACTCTGTCTTAGTAGAGTTACTGAGGCTTTGATGTTTACCAAAAAACAATGGATGAGGGACGTACAGAAACATTAGTTTTGATCATATGAATTGTGCCAAGTTTTCAACCTGGGGTTTCCTAGATCAATTTAATCGATGTTTAAATACAATAGGTGATATGGCTGTCGTAAACTCTAAGCGTATGTTTACCTTACATGATGTCTTGTTAGATGTATTATGATGAACAGTGATAGGCGTGTACCACGTAGTCACATATTCTACTCATGTACTTCTGTTGGAGTTAGAGCCCAACCAGTCTGTTGATAAGTTGAAGGAAATTTCAGTGGGTATTTAGTTTCCCATTTTTTCACTTTGCCCGTGGAGTCAATATTTTAGGGTGCTCTAAGTAGCGTCCGGAGTTTTTGCGAGCCAATCTTGGGGAAATGGGCTTAGTTCTAATTGTACGGACGACTTAGTTTCTTTTGGTAAATCGTATCCGTGGGGTACATTTTAGAGATCCACGAATGCTGAGGCTCCATCCAATGTACAATTGTCTACTTATGATGGTTGGATAGGAATGGTTATAGTACACGAAACCCAGCGTATGTACTCGTGCTCCTGACTGGTACGGAGTGCATCAAGCTAGAATAGTTTTGGAAGTTGCGCCACCTTGAGTTTGATATTTGAATGTCAGATTTGCTTCACAACTATGAGATACAGAGTTCGATCGTGGAAAACATTAATCAATCTGAGGTTTTCAACTCAATATTGCTTGTGAAAGTTTCCTCGGTAGTATATACTGAATGTGCTAAAATATCAAGATAAAAGACGAGCTGTCCAGAAATACATTAATACAAAAAAATATTTTCTGCACGCTTGTATGATAACTGTTTGCCTTTGCATGCTGTCCCCATAACTTCTACTTCAGGCTAAAAACACATGTACGTAGGTGACCAATGCGAAGCTTGCTCACAGAACGACTACTAATTGTTTCTCGCTTTAGTCAGTAACAGTAATAAAATCCCTCGAATGACCCAAAAAAGTATGACTCGACATTTGATAAATGATGTTGCCTCCCACTTTTCCTCTGTATTCTTCATTCTCTGTCGTTGGTTCCGTTTAGGTTTCCCGGTGGAAAATGTGATCCGGAAGATCGGGGGGATTTGATTCGCACTGCATTGCGGGAAACGCAAGAGGAAATTGGAATTTCACCGGAATCCATCGATGTATGGCATCAACTCCCACGTATGGATGGTAGGGTGAGATAGTTTGAACCTGTTTTACATGTCTATGTCTGTTTACAAAACATCCTATTTTTGCCTGTTCTTTCTCAAAAATGGGACAATTACCTGAGCCTTTGAGGTCGATAGCTCCTTTATTAGTTCCATACTTTCTGTCTTTCTTTTGCTTCATTGTTTTCCATCTCCTTCTGTCTTGAACACCTTGTGATAACCGAGATATCTGTGACGCCGTCGCAACATCCGTCTCCTTGTGAAGGTTGAGTATACACTGTAGCAGTTCGGGCGGTGATACTATATGGAGCAGAGAGTTGGCCTTTGCGAAAACAGGATGAAGACCATCATGGTTTGAGCACCAGTGCCTGCACCATGTTACACGAGATTAGCGGGGAAAACAGACAGGCAATGCTGAGGTTCGGCGCTGAGAGTTTAGGTAATCGTTTTCATCCACTGGAGCAGGTGCTCAACTTTCATAGATCACGTTGAGTGGAACATGTGTTGCACGTCACCAAATAAACTTCCATGGCGTGCGATATTTACCGATGCAGGTGAAGGACTGAAAAAGTGAAGGGCAGTCAAACTAAGATCCAGCACAAGGTTATCAAATCCCTAACCAGGAGACTTGCTCACATAGGCCGCGTTCGGCTCCCCGGATTGGGACCTCAGAGTCAGCGTAACTGATAGAAACACTGAGTGATATGACTGATTGTCGTAATCGGTTCATTTCAGTTCAGTTTGTACAAGCATTAACCATGCACTATCGCGCGCCAGTTTTGGTTGCTGTCATTTGGCTGTCGGTTTGAATGAAGAATAGAAGAAAGACAAGAAAGTTGAAGGTAGAGTCGAAGGGAAACTTGAGAACTCCAGTAAACTATGGCTGCAAAGAAATTGAGAAAATGCACGAACGCCACTGTTTACGACACTCAGCNAGTGTCTCTACCTATCGGTTACCATCATCCCGAGGTCCTCAGTCAGAGAGCCTGACAGGACCTATGTGACCCAGACTCCTGGTTAGGGTTTTCATACCCTCATGCCAGGTCTTAGGTTGACCATCCTTGGCTTTTTTCCACCCACTACCTGCCTCGGCAAACATCGCTCACCGTGGCAACCTTTTTGGTGACATACNCGTAATCAATGCAGGTTGACCATCTGCTCCAGTGGGTGACCGCATTTACCTACAACTCTACGCCTAACCTCAGCATCGCTTGTCCGGCTGCCCCACCAGACACGTGCAATGCTGCGTAGCCAGCGGTGTTCAAACTCCGACAATCCTGTTTTCTTAATGGCCAAGTTTCTGCACCGTATAGCAGAACTGACCGAACTGCCGCAGAATACACTCGACCTTTTACGAACAGCCGGATGTCGCGATGGCGCCACAGATGTCTCGAGTTGGCAAATCCCAACCGAACCTTCTGTATGCGAGCTGACACTTCATCCATGATGCGTCCACCGGGTGATGCAGTTGCCCAAATAACAAAACTTATCCACCTGCTCTATTACTTCCCAATGAGAGTGAGTCTCGGTGCTGGACCAACCCAGTATTGAAGTAACATTTGGCACTTTGAAGGTGCAAAACGCATACCGAACATGGCTATCCTGGCATTCAAGCTGTCAAAAAGGTTTGCAACTTCGCTCAGCAGCACAATGCCGTATACATACTAAAGATCAGACAGCCTTCCACCTGGGAGTAAATCGTAACCAGTGATGCTCGTGCATCTACTGAATGTCTTTTTAATCTTATTCTTCATGAATTTTCTATTTTCACCTTGACACCATTTTAAACATTCCAAACTCCCCTCTATTCCTTCATCAGTTCAGTTCACATTATACAACCATTAATTATACCTTTTTGTGCGGTGGTTTTGGTTGCTGTCTTTTAGTGGCACATTTGATAGAACGGGTAGACGAAAGATTGGAAAGTTCAAAGTGGAGTCAAAGAGTAAATGGAGAATTCTAGTAGACTAAGGTTGCAAAGAAGTTTAGATGCACCAGCGCCACTGTTTACGACAATTAGCCATGCCACTCTGTCTCAAACCATTGATCGCAATGATTTCGAGGATCCGACCCAGGGGCCCTAACGCAACCTATGTGATGGAGTCTTCTGGTTAGGGTTTTCATACCCTCACACCAGGTCTTTGTTTGACCGTCCTTGAATTTTGCCCTCCGATACCTGCCTCAGCGAGCATCGAGCACCTTAGCAGTCTACAGTCAATCTCCTGCTATGTCGCACCAATGAGAAGTCGCATTTTCCAATATCTTCCCACTTTTTCGGAAACCCAAACCAATCGTATGCGTAATAACGTAGTTTCTGTCTACGAAGTGCCGCCCCCTCAATCTGTCGCAGTTCCTGGCACCCACTCACTTGATCGTTGACCGATATTGGGGACGTCCATTGAGCAACCAACCCGCATTGTCGCAATCGGCCAGTAGCGTTTCATCTAGTGTGACGCGAACACTACACTGTTCACCGATTGAATAATCTTTGTGAGGAAGACACATCGATGGCAACAATCGAAGACAGTGTCGCTGAACTTCAAAATGTGCATCTCCTATCGATGAGAATGTGTTGGAAATGCTGAATCAGTCAGGTGCAACTCAGAGCTCCGTATCCGAATCACTTATTATTGCAAAAAAATTAGGTGTGATATTTTCAGTGTAGATAAACACAGCTTTGTTTTACAAGCAGCTCCCAGAAAGAACATTAAGTGTCAAAGGAAAACAACATTTAATGGATCCAAGAAATCCTAAGAAAGAGTCACGCTACTGCCTTGTGGGATCATGGTTGGAGAAAAGTCAGTACCGTTGGTTATAGGAAAATTTCAAACTCCTCTCGATATCTTAGAGTTATAGATAAAAAAAGCGTTCCCTGCAGTCATAAGTCTCCAAAGAACCCATGGAGGTATCTGCAATGATTCGGGAGTGAGGAAGAACTAAACAGATGAGGAAGAGGTTTTTCAAATGGGAGAAATTGAACACGACATATTTTGTGGTAGCTCAAACTGACGAACGGTTTTTTCCTTAGGAACCCCGACCGCAGCCTTCGACTCCAAAGTCTGACCCATAAGGCAGTGGGGGGTAAAACCAACGCGCGGGCGCAACCAAAGCATCCGTGTGTGAACTTCTAGAGCCTTGTCACTCAAGGCTTTTGGGCTTCAACTCAATGTATTGTTCACCGGTTTGTTGATTGACGCTCCGCTATTCGGGATCGGCCCTTAGCTTCATGTACTCAATAAGACAGGTGGAACGTGGACGGAACAGCACTTTATTGGCTGGGGGCTGTCCAGGTTGGATGGGTGGTGTCTGTCCAATGCAGTGCGAATACTTCTCCCACCACTCCTTCATACAAATGGACAGCCAAAAGACAGCAACTGAAACCGCTGCACGAAGGTGCATGATTAATGGTTGTTTAAATCAAATTAAACTAAACCTAAACGCGCCTCAGCTATATCTATATATGTATATACTAGTCTGTTATCAGATTAGCACTCAAATCACGAAACGAGAAATGGGAACAAACATGTGTAGGGGGCGGGGTGGAGGGTAAGAATGGGGGGTAAGAATGAAAGACTGTGCAGTTGACAGTCAAAGATTTTTGTACTTGCTTCTATCGGAAGCCATTCTTGAAGTTTTTTTAAAATTTGTGTTGTGATGTTGAGCATGGTGAAGGTTGTGCAAACACATTTTTCGATTCAACCTAAATAACTTGATACACCAATCGTCACAATACATGGCCCAAAAATTTGCGATTGACGGAGATCACAAAATAACTTACTACCCAAGGACAGGAAGGTTTGATTTTGTACCTCTGTGAATACACATTCTAAATGATTCGTGAGGGTTGGGATTCAAGCATATACTGCTACGAGATGTACTGTTAATATAAGACTTATTTTACTTTTGTCGCTAATTATGGGCTTGCCAAGTGCGTCATTTCGGATTTCATGCATCTACTTGCAGTTCACCAATCGACAAAGACCGCATTTTCATTGTATGCGTGTGGTAGTTGGCGCACAGACTGCAAATTCTGATGAACTGCTTTGCAAAACTGCATATGCGTCAGGAAATGCTCAAGATCTTTCCGGTCTCTTCCTACTCATTGATAGGAAACGACTGACAGTTTTGTCATTCACAACAAACATTGACGTCTTGAACGTAGCATTTTAACATGTAGTTCGACTGGACTGTGGCGCTCGGCGATTTGTCTTCAAGGATCTGTCACTTCCAAGTAACCTGTGCATGTTTGATTGCTCACTTTTGCTTTCAGTTGTCATTTATCGTGCGAAAAAGTTGGCTTCATGGGTTATCTTGTGAGAAACATTGAGATCAAAGTACAAAGCGGTGTCCTCCATACCACGCAGCCTTTGCCTCTAGCCATTGCGCAACCAAGTTCTACTTGAAGAACAGTTGTGCGGTCACACTAGTCTCGAGCCAGATTCACACATGATGGTACACTTTCTGCGACCATTTTTGGCGTTTTACTACACAGAATACTCGACAGACAAACCCGGCGCTTCCTCGGAAACTGCACACATACTCGGGGGTTCTTGGGTGGCTCCCTCGGATTTATCGTTTACCCTTTTGTGGTTCATGGTCTACAAAAAAACTATAGTGATTGTAATGTAGTATAATATAATAATAATATAGTATATTTTAATCTCATCCCGCCAGAGGGTGTTCGCGTTAATCTACTTCTTTCGCATGATACATTCGGCTTTCTTTCATCACTCTGGTTGTATTGTATTTACTTTGAGTATTCCTCTGCTCTTTATTTCTTATCTATGTGAGACCGTTAGTATTGTGTTCAAATGGCATTTTATGTTCGTTCATTTCCGTTTCCTATCAATTACGTAACTGTGGTCACTGCAACAATGTTTACATGATATTTCTATGCCTTTACCATCTTGCTTTTACTCACCCAGAGTTCTCTTCATCCGGTACTTGGTTTCTGTGGTCATGTGGCTTTACCGGGGGATGAAATATCGTCCAAAATGTCACTCGAGAACAAATCTGCGCCATTAGGCTCCGCTAAGCGACCTCATCATCTAAAACTGAGTACGGATGAGGTTTCCTACGCTGTGTTTCGTTCGATTGATTGGCTTTGTGACTTGAATAACTTAGCCTACACGGATCTACGAACACGTTCAACATATTCGTTTCGCCCCACTGGATCGCACCTAAGTGAATCAGGTCTGTCTAAACCCCAGCCGTTCCCGCATGAGTCTCGCTACATCCTACCGGTATATGGTCATCTACCGCACACCGGTTCTCCGGGGCCTCGCATTTGGGGTCTCACAGCGGTTATGACATATCGTGTTCTGAACTGTCTTGTTCCGAACGGGCCTTATCCTCAGAACCATCCCAAAACGAAAGTGCTTGAACCTCTCCTCGCGGGACTTGTGCACCCTCCGGTCAAAGGATAGCCATTCGAGCTCGTTTTTTACCTCACCCACTCCTTTGCATGATAGTGGATTGTTTTCATCCCCCCATCTGAAGTGGTTTGTAGCCTTCAATTTTTTTATCTCACTTCTTGATCGCATAAATTTGCAAAGATACAGAGAAAGGGATTGGTGTTCTTTCAGATACGTTGGCACAAGGGTCAGTGGATGGTAACTCGGGGATGTGTGGGTATATTGGTGGGGCGTTGTGAATGTAAACTAACTGTACAAGCAGAAGTAGGACGATGGAGGCAAAGCGAGATGTATGAAAATCGGCCAAGCGAATCGAAGGAATATATGACCGTTGAACCATTGCCACCGTCGGTAATCCTCTGACTCCAGGTTTTTTCACATACATTTTGATTTTTTATTTTGGCGTTTCCGTCAAGTGCAGTTTGGCTAGGCGACGTTTCCAATGCGTTGGAAGTCGTTCGTAACAGTCTTTGCACACCGGTTTCAAATCGATCTCGTACAGTTTGGATCTGGAGAGAGAGGAGTTTAGTGGACAAAATAAGCGTACTGTTTGCGCATTTCATGCTCATTTAGGATCAACACTGTCACACGGAACGAATGTGTTATGTGCTTACGGAAGATCTTCAAAACTGGATATGATAGGTGTAGTGCGTGTCGCTGGATTCGGACATGCATACCCTAATTTATTTAACTGCTATTCAAAAGGCGAAATTTATTTTAAATGCTCTTAACATGTTGCTTAGTATTTCCGTGCACTCCATGAAACACATGTTGACTTTCACCTGTTGAACAATTGTTTTGTATTGTTTATAAACGCTACCGAACTACTTTCAGCCAATCGATTAGTTGTTAACATCTACCTCGTGATGATTACCGCGCAGAAGGTCAAACGTCTCGGTGGGATCGAAATTCGTTTCGAATCACATGCGTGTATTCTCTTGACTGAGATGTGAGACCACAGTAATTTATGGCGGTGGTCATCCGATTCATCTATCTGTGTATTGATCAACACCTTAATTCACATGAGAAACTCGGTACCGGTCATGAACAACAGCCTTTAATTATTCCCTATCTTTTTGAAATAGTACATGTAGGCACCAAGTCGAATGCAAAGGAAGTAAAATACCGTGATCCTATGATCAATATAAAATATGGGTTTCTCTATCGTTCTGTGTAATTCGATACTTGAAGGTTCCCGGAACATCTGTACCCAAGGCGTGAAACTGTCCCAACAAAGAAGGCGATCGCTAACCGTAAAGAACACGCTGTCCATGGCCTGTGANNNNGTGATCGGCAACTTAGGTGACTGTCATCATTCACATCTCCAATCCCAACAAGGCAATAGGACAATTGTAGCGACCTTCGGAACACGAATGTGAGTGATTTCCGACGAACGCTGCGGTCGGCCAACCACATCTGAACTTTCCATGTAACTTGGGAACACCACCTTAAATTTCTACATTTAACTCAGCTACTTGTGACATCCAATCATCATTTATTCACACGGCTCGCTGAGATAGTCCGAGTTGGGGTCTGGTTACAGAAACGTACACCGATCTCCTGAGCAATCATGTCATTAGATGTGTGGTTAGTTAAATTTGCACAACCGAAGTTCACCACCTTTTTCACTGTCGCAGGAATCCGTTAAAGGTACCCAATTTAATCATTTTTCAACTTTGCCATCGGCAACATCATGGGATTGATAGTGGGGGTGTTCCGATGCCTCGAGTGTGTGAAATAAATTCCAAAAAGTAGACTCTACAAGTTGGATTACTCCATTGACGTCGTTCGACGAGTCACGTGTAGGTGATCGACCCTCGAGCTCACTGAATGCCCCCACTACTTCGACGGTTTACAGACTTTTCATTTGTGCTTTCTCGTGTATTTCAATGACCAAACGTTTTGCATTTCGTTGTATGCGATGAATGACGTGTCGCGGTGAACACCCTTTGACATGAGCAGATCGACAGTGGAGTGAGCACCTTCATACTGGCTTCCCGTGATTCGCCTTTAATCGAGATCCGTTTTCTAGGTCTTGTTGAATGTGATCAATAACAACAGTATTGAAACTACAAACTACCGAAAATGTACGGTATAACAAAAAGGAACTTGGTTTCATGCATCCTTGTTTAGTAACATTTGAGATCGTAATGTTCCTTTTATTGTTGTTCACCAAAGTTCTATCTGTATGTGATCACCATCCACATTAGAGACGGTTAATCACCTTGTTTTGAATACGAAATCAATGTTAAAACGTCTCTTATTGCTACTGAGAATCAGTTGAGGGATCCTTAAGCTGTACGTTAATTTGCCCGAAAATTGCACAAAGGTATCGGGAAAAACTCACTTTTCATTCAGTTGGTTATCACATATGGAGCATGTGAAGTGTGCCGGACAGTATGCTTTGTTGGTGAATCTTGCTAGGAGTCCTGTTACAGCTTTGTTACAAATGTGACACAGGTTTCCAATGCGTGCTTGATAATGAGCCAAGCAGTAGGCATGCCCACGCCATTCGTAGAACCGTCCACCCATGAACGGCAGCTCACAGTGGTGGCACACAAAATGTTCGACATGCCATGTCCGGCCCAGGGCCCATACAATGCGACCCTCGATTGGACGACTGAGTAGGGGAAAATAATCACAAGAATCTCAGCTTTAGTTGCATGGGACGAGGTCAGTTGTTTTATGCGAAATTTCGGTTAGTATGACTAACGTGGTGTGCACAGTTTAGTGCTGCTAATGAAAGACACGTGGATGCCCTCATTAATTTTTGTGAGTTCTTTTTGCGATTAATGCGCTCGTTTATTCTGCTGTCCCGCGACTTACCTTATCTAAATGAAATAAGGAGAATTTAGCAACCGGACAGTGCTCCACACAGCCAGTTCACCGCTAGTCTTGATCGGCTAACTGGCTAAATGACTGTCTGTTTGGCTCAGTATGCATTGTCTTCTTCGGTAAAATAAGGTCACCTCAAGGTATTTATTCATTGTGTGGATACAAGTGATTAAAAGTAGCTACTCGGAATCTCTTTGATCAGAAAATCGTGGATGTGTGTACAGGAACCAGGACAACTCACCGGCATGCGGCACAAATCGGTATGCCCATTTTATCGAAACATCGCAAACAGTACAGGTCGCCTTCGCGTTCCCTCGCATCTGGTCCCAGTTCGGCATCACAATTTGCACATTGGAAATGATGCGGATGGTACGGGTCCCCTTTGAATCGGATCAACTCGTTCGGGGCTATAGGACAACGACATGTCTGACAAATTTGTTGTCCCATCTGATGCTGGGCGACTTCCGCGAAGCACGATCGGCAATATGGTCTGGTGGTTGAAAGAAGTTTTGATATGTGTGGCAGGACTTTATATTTTGTGAATATTTTGGAGAGCGTCAAAGATTGATCAAATATCAGAGTGAAGTGGTATATAATACATAAGGTCAAGGCTGATTCCCCTTTGAATTAACTTTGTAAATTGCCCCAACACTGGGAATTACACTTCTTCACAGACACAAGAACAAGACATTGAGGGTCTATGGTGATCGTTTAAGAGCATGTAATGATCGTTTATGATCGATTAACAATGAATATAACACTGATAACGGATACCAAACAACCTCCCAACAGTCTTAAGTGACAGCCTCCGATTAGCAAACCATCCCCAGTGTTGAAATTGAAACTTAAACGATATTAAATACTGACACTAGTCATTATAAAACAATTTCCTCAGAGGAGAAAATACCATGCTCACTTTTATTCAGGAAGCATAATTTTGACAATATCCTAATGGTTTTCTCCATATTTTAAATACTCTGGTTGTTCACGAAACATGAACTGAAAATCTAGGATCTACTGTACGGCTATTTCGATCTTGTTGGGTCTCATCAGCCGTGTGAAAACGTCGAATCCGGGATCTCGTGGATAAAACAAGCGTAGTACCAACCTGAATACCGGACAACTGATCATAAAAAACCTTTTTCTTTACTTTGATTTTTCCTTTAATAAGCTGTCTTTTGTTTCTTTTATATTCCTGAATACACAGTGATATTCATTCATGTATTATTTTCCACCGGGATCGGTTAAATGAAATCGGAAAAAACCTTGCTTCAATCCGAAACTTACCTACCCCGAACCTTTTGCAAACCCGTGGATCCCAGCTGTGTTCCGCACCGATCACAAACGAGGCACTCCGGATGCCAGCTTCGGCCCATCGCTTTGATGACTCGAGCCATGACGAACTCCCCTGATTGGAAATGAAATGAAAAACAATGTGCGTCCATGGTTGGAGTATTAATCTATTGGTTGTTGATATGCGCAATCAATCATTCTTATTGATGGTGTTAAACTTAATGTGGGAAAAAGCCCATCAATGTGTAAGGCTACGTATTATCCATTTTTCACTAATTAAACGACCGAGATCACTCGAATAAATCCCATAAACTCAGCAAACATAGTGTTTTCTGACACTATCTGCAGCACAAACGATCGTGATCAAACCACTGTGATAATTTAAACTTTCTGCTAATTGGGCGTGCCTACTTATGAGTACTATACATATTATCATATCACTATGTATGAACAATGCTCTTAGGGCCATTTGTTAAGGTATTGAAAGAATCACATGACCGGCTCTGAGGTGACCTCAAATCGTTTGTCACTCCAAGTCCTAGGCTCATATTTCCGTTTCAGATAACGACATTATTTCCTATGGTCTTTAGGGAAATACCCTACTACCGTCCACCATCAATCATTTTATTTTCGATTACTCATTTAATTGTTGAATCCTGTAGATGGTGGTTCATGAAAATGAATGAAAAGCTCTGTAGACGTTGGAACTCATAGCGCTGGTCATCAAAGCCCATAAAAAGGTGGAAGTAACTTTTTCTGTTCATGTTTTCAGCTCTAACCCTAAGTGCCTATTGGAAAACCTAATCAGAAGCGTGGCAATATGTTGCACCTTCAGGGTGTCAAATGCTCTTGCATATTTAAGCATACTGCCAGCATAGTATCATTAGAAAAATACCCAGAAAACTTCGAACTTTGTGTTTTCTGAGAGAACAATTTTGAATGAATAGAATACTCTTTGTGCACTCATCGGTCTCCGTTGTCTGTGGCGTTCATGTTAACTCTCTTTGTCCATTACTGGTCCAATCGCGGTTACAGCGTGACGGAACGGTAACAGCCACAACTAAAAGATTCACCGTCTGTTTCTATCACACTGTCCGAGGATGATGGGAATATTGAATCAATGATTTCGGGGTTATTTTTATGGTGTAAAGTAGAGGTTTTCGCATTGCAACCGGATTTCTCACTCACCATCTTCTTGGTAAGTTGGGATATGTGATACAGATATTCGTGGATGGGCACGTTGGATGCATACTTTTTCTTTTCACCCCAGGAGCACTTGATTTTCACTTTTTTAAGTTGTAAATAAATACGCTGGAATTTACAGCAAAGCGAATAGGATGAATAAACAGTATTTTAAGTGACCCTTGACGAAGACTTCTTTGTATTCCAGTCACTGGTAGCGATTTATACGACAGCATTTATGATGAAAGTAACAAGCATTTTACCGAACCAAATTTTACATTCTTATTGTAGCTATACTGAAACAGCCTACTATAAGCACTTTTTATATGTTTCTGTTAGACGCAAAATAACTGTCTTAGGAAAAAAAGAACAACGGGACTGAAATTTTATCTTAAACAGTGTACAAGTGATAAAAGAAGGAGCTTATTCACAGTTCATCTCAGACTTACCACATTTGCTACAGAACGGTGCGAACAGCATTTGGAAGTCGTATTTGCAATATCGTCTGCCCTCGTACTACAAGATAAATGAATTGGAGACGGAGTGTGAATCACACACTGAAGGGATGAACGGTAATGAACTAAGTAGTTGACGATGATAAGATGCGTTTGGAACTCGACTGCAATCTGTATGACGGTGTTGATTCTCCTTCATTCACTGTAACGGCGCAACTAGGAGATCAGTTTTTAATTGTAGCGAAACCAAGCGTACGTAGTGTGCTCATGACGATACGTGTATCGCTCGGTTCGGGGAAGGTCCCCGGAATGATGATGTTTATCAACTTAATCGAAAATTCAAATTGTTTCGTCACTCCCTTGGTCAAAAAGTAAATGTCTTTTTGTGTTCGTTACACCTCATGCTTATTGTAGTGCCTATCTTTGAAGGTCAGTACGCTTTTGTACGTATTCAGCTTACTAAATCAGAAATAGCAAATGTGATGTACTCAAAGTTTATGCACAAAAACAAACAACGGATTTTGAACGCAGTGTCGTCTGTTTTATTCACTCTAGTGAACTATTCGCCACGTCAGAGTATGAAGAGGGTCACAGAGTGCTCTTTTCCAAATATTGGTTACGTAAAAGCGACCCAGACACTTTTTCTCTTGCTTGAGTATCATTCATCTGCAAATTTTTGACTGGTAAAAGTTGTTTGGATACCCCGGAGTCACCCAAATGCGAACCGAATGATGATGGTGATCGTGATGAGTTTCGTGATTTTCACCCTCGGAATAATCACATTTTGTCAACCCAATCTAAAATGAAACTTGTAAACTGTGCAGAGGACCACTGAGGCCACTGATCGATTAGGTGATTTAAACAAGAGGTAACTTAGAGGTATACATACATGTGGCTTTTCAAACATAATATTCGGGACTCTTCAAGTGTTAAATGATTTGCATCGCAGACCGCTCCTGATATCACAATCAGTCATTTCTCTTTAGGGCTCATTCGTTAAAATCTCATAAAAAATAAGGAACCTAACCTGTTTGCTGATAAGACTTGAAATGAGTTTTAACTCCTGCGTTCTGTCTCACGAAAGGAAGAATGAATGGTAAAGCGTTGATTTATTCTAATGGTCAGATAGAATGGATAGAAGCATTTTGTCTAAACGGTAAGAAAACGGCAATTTAAAATGCTTTGCTTTTCATCCATGATCGAACCCCTCGCTAAGACGGACATAATTCCATTTTTGAAGTCAATGAACACGGTAACACTAGTCAATTTCACGTCTTTCATTCTCCCTCGAGATTCCAATGCTGGTTGAGTATCACTATCAGTAGGAGGCATTGTGACACAACAACATTCAATGACAATGGGATAGATAACCGTCCATCAATAGCCACCCAGGGGACTGCCACTCATTAAATATTTATGAACTCACATCACCCTCAGACGCAAATCAACATTCAAATGCTACTTTCAAGGTGGCTGACATTGGAGAAATCAAAATGGCTGCTGGTGAAACGCATACAAATTCACTACCAAGCTAAATGAACACCCGGTGTTACGGTGTGGAATGCCATCAATTAGAAGGGACAACATCCGTCACTCAAAGGATATCTCATCAACCATTATTTTAAGAAGATCATAACATAAATGAATCAACTCTGTTTACTTTCCTAAATAAAAATATACGGAACCCGTGAACTGATCAACAGCTGAGTTTTCTGTCCAGTTAGCACGCTGGAAATGCTTTGAATAACATCAAAATAATATCAACATTAGGGTTTAATGGAAGTTATATCAACCAAGCGCATTGATTAGATCACAAAAATGTTCCTCTCGAGCCCGTAGAAACACGTGGCAGTATAAATAAATAAAAAAATGATAGTCAGCCTTTGTCCTTCTGTCCTAATGGCCTTGTTTCTACACCATCGGTCTGCAACTTAAATTCTACAATAAAGAGAAATCCGTAAATGTCTTAATTTGACTAACCCCATTCGAGCTTCTTCTGCGTTAAAGCGTTTGAGATTAGCCCTGGTTGGAGATGTGACCACTTTAGGAGTAAAATGAAAATTCACTCTTCTGGACCACGCAGCTTATTTTGGCGTGACTTGACTTGAATATGCTTTATCTATTTCTCTTGTACGCGAGTGAAACTGTCATCTGTAAAAGCCTAATGCTATAATGGTCTTTTAAACTTGGGAGATCGAAACACATGGCGAAAATGCTGTAACCGCACAAGATTTTCTCAGCACTGGATTTTCAAAGGATAGTCCAGATAGGAAATCCACAGGTAGTGAAATAGAGCACAGCTGGAAGCGTGTAGGAATTCATTTATCATGCAAAAATTATAGTTATTTATAGGATAGAGTGAGGACGGGGAATGCATATATCAAACGATTGTTTGACCGGATTGCTGTCAACCATCTGGATTGGTTGGCGGTTCCGGTTAATCATCTCAGTTCACCTATCGATAATCTGATTGGTTGTCCCAGAGTAAAGTAGTTTTCAGGGAGCATGCTGACTCCCTGACAGAACACACTACCAATCAAACCGCACAGAACGACTTGAAGCTTAAATGAATCCTCACTTAGCAATAAAATACAAGCTGTGTACTTCTGGTCACAGATTACTGCACACAAAGAATCAAATGCATCCTTTTAATGATACGAAATTGGACACGGTACATAGAGTAAATGGAGCTCCCAGTTGCAACAGCTCTCAGGAGATATGTCTAGTTGTACACTACCAGATGCTTTCTTGGAGGAGGATACGTTCACCAACTCCGAATAGGTTTTGATAAATATGCAGTCGCCAACAACAGGTGGCCACGCTACCAGGGTGTGGGGAGGAAAAACTGATTACTTGTTTCGGTAAACGCCGATGTAACTGGCCTTTCAAAAATAAAGGTGAGCGTGGAAGGGAGAAATATCTTGTTATTATCTGATGTCCACGAGCATGAGACATCTACTCTCTCATGTCAAACGATAGATGAACCTGCTGCCTCCTGTCTCACTGCGACTCTGTCCATGATTGCTGGTATTGCGTATGTGAAATAGAAAAGTTTGTGAATAACACAACGTTGTTTTATCTAATGTCAAACATAGCGTGAAAGTTTTTCGGCCACATTCGTCAATGTTGTGGTACCGGTGCCACAAAAGGCGTTTAAATCATTTTGGGCGCCAGTAATCATGGGACTGCAGCTTTAGTCACTGTTCTGCTACCTTGCGGTTTAGTACTGAATAGCCAAAGGCGCTAGACGGAATTCCTTAAGAAAGTTCCCTTACCTAACCTGGGCATCCAGAAAGTATACTGCCTCGAGTGTCGCTTGGCGCATCATCTTGTACCAACTAAAGGGGACTTTTCATGGATATTTTATCCCTCAAGTTGGTTCATGGTCTCGCGTGTGATGATAGCATCAAAGTAAGGTAGTATAGCACACATAGGCGCGGTGTTATGAAATCCGATTTCTCTGTCCGTCCGTCTGTCTGTCTGTCTGTCTGTCTGTCTGCCTGCCTGTCTGTCTGTCTGTATGTGTGTGTGTGTGCATGCATGTATGTATGTATGTATGTATGCGGTGGTGGCCCGGTGGTAACGTCACCAAATTACCACCCCGGAGGACGATTGTTCGAATCCCACTACCACCGCCTGACTTCTTCCATTTGTGTGTTGTATGGAAGCTCTTTGATTGGCCGCTTCCCTCTTTCTGAAAATTGTATCACTGTGTATTCAATAAGAGGAAGTAAAAATAAAAAATGTATGCAGATAGGTGTATATGTACCTATTTATGCGTGTCGCGTTGCAGGTTTGCGTGTTCACAGATTTAAGGTGGATATGAGAATACGTTTCGACGCCGTACTGTTCTATTGACTTGAGAAACTATCAAAACGAACCCGTTCACTGAAAAATCTTATTCCTTCCATATAATAAATAGAAAATGCTGAGTGGGATACGATTACGAAGTGAGAAAAAATTCTGTTACACACGTCATACATGCTGATGATTGTTCTCCGTGCTTGCTGTTGAGCTTTAAAAAGTTTCTTTGTTAACGCCGTAGGGGTAGATGAGTTATTGTATTGTAGGAAAATCAGCTTATTTGTTCATGGCGAGGATGTTCCACTCACACTGGCAGAAAACGGAGGTTTCATATTCTGTGGAAATTGTCTGGTAATCGTTTTTACTTTCCCCCTTTATCAAATTGTCTTAATCCTTTAAAAAAGGGTTGATCATCTAACGATGTGTTCTCAACTACTATTAAAGTCTCGTTTGTCATTAACTAGGGATAGTGATATCAACCCTGATGAAAACTGTGTGCATGCATTCCCCACAGCAAAGACTTAAAGACCGGTTGATCATTCTTTTTGTGTTACATTTTTTGACTTTTTTCTTTCGAGCGCCAATTTCTTGTTGACCAAAACAACGTTAATGGAACAAGGACTGAGGTTTTGTGCTTTCACAAACCGTTTCTGTCTGCAGGTGGCTAGATGTAAAGCAAGTTCTAAAAGAACCATGGGGATAGAGGGTCAGTAAATTCAACTCAACCCGGAATACAGTGATGCTCCCATAAAAATGTGCATTTATCGAGTTAGTCAGAAAATGGATTGTCAGCTTTTATTTTATTCCACGGATTGATAGATATGGCGTCCAAGTTAAGGTCATACGACCAGTCTTAAAAATTTGATCAAGTAAGGGAGCCGTAGATAAGGTGAAATGAAAGAAAGCGTCGTGTGGATTGGGGTGGGATCCGGGCACAATAAACAACTTACTTCGTAGAATTCTGTGTGAGATAGAGGTCGAAAACACTGTGCGCATCTGTTATAAAGTCAGACAAATACAAAAGGGAGAAAAGAAAAACATTTATAGATCGTAAATCGATGGTGATAGGAAAATGTGGGTCAATATTCATTTGAGGGTAACTTTAGTCAATGAAGGTCTTCTTCAGCTACAAAACAACCATAAAATTAACAATTGGTTGAATAAATCCTTTACAGATACGGAGTTAACCTAATATTTCTAGTGAATTACGTACAACGGAGC